GCGTTCCCAACCTAGGGTCCCGCCCCACGCCCCAGGCCTGACCCCGCGCGATTCTGCCCCGGGTCGGTTGCGTCGGCCGGAGAGATAAGCGCGCGCCTTTGTTCCTCCCCAGCTGGGTAAACCGCGCGCCCGCCCTCGCTGCGCCCGCGGGGGGGGTGTCACCCTGCGTCCCGCCCCTGCACCGCCCTGGACAATGGGTCTGAGCCGCGCATTGTCAGACACCGTGTGTACCCGGGGCGGGGCGGCAGGTGCGAAGGCGGCGGCGGAATGCGGGGTCGGCGCGGGGCCGAGCGGCTAGGAACCCCGCGGGCAGGTGACCCCGGGCCGCTCCACCTTCTGCTGGCTGCGGACTCGGGGAGGTGGGAGCCGTGAGCAAGAGGTGGTGCGCGGCGCGGAGCCGAGTTGCTACCGCCATCCCCGCAAGCCAGCGCCGCACACCTGGCGCTCCCTAACGTGATTTACGAAGTGAAAGTGTTAAACGAGGCCACCAGCTGGAGCCCGGGCCGGCTTTATGCGTTTTATTAGGTGTCCTATTATGGAAAATAAACTTTAATCCTACCATAAAATCTAAATCTGAAAAACATATTCGCCCTTGTAGTCTGAACACTGCGGCATTCTTGGCGCAGGTCACACCTCCGAAGGATTAGTTTTATTGAGGGAGACGCAGAGTACCGCGGGACTTTGATACTGAGGGGCAGGGAGCATTCCTCTGGGCACCCACACCTTGCGACGTTTCTGAGAAGGCTCCCAGACCCTTCCTTAGGATCCCCAACGTCTCCAGGTCGCCTCCCTCCCATGGCCACTCTCCTCCCAGGGGTTCCCACCTAGCTAGCCCTGAGCCCCTACTGGGTCAGAGGACTCAGACTGTTCCTGCATCCCTGAGAATAGGGGAAGACTCCGGGGTTCCTTTAACTGTAACCCTGAAAGGTGTACGGTGGAACCACCATGAAGGATAGGACCGAGCCACACTCAGAGCCATACTCGGTTCTGCGAGGCTAAAGGACGACGGAGCGACCAGCTTGACGCTTAATTTAATTTGTAAGAGAAAGGAGAAAGAAGCCGGGGGGGCGTGTAGAATGCATAGGCTTGAGTGAAAACGTCAGAAACATCTCTTTGTTTGGATGGGGTCTTGCTATGCAGCCCACAGGAGCTCCAGCTCCAGGGGCCCTGGATCTTCTGCCTCTACCCTTTAAGGATCCTGTGCTCACAGGAACACACACAGAGACATATGCATACACATTTTAAAAATTACAAGTGAAGTTGTAGCACTTCCTTCCCTGTGGCTGGTTTATTTCCTCAGGGCAGGGGTCTCCTGGACTCATCCATGCTGCGGCATGTAGCAAAACCACCTTCCTTTCTTCCTTCCTTCCTCCTTCCTTCCTAGTGTGAACATTTTGTTCATAGATTCCCCTGCAGTTAAATTCCTAGCTTGCTCCCGGCTCTTGCCTCTTTTGAATAATGCTGTAAAATATGAGTGTGCATATTTCTCCTTCAGAGCTTGCTGTCGGTTCTTTTAAATATTCAGAACTAACTCTGCTGGCTCATACAGCGGTCTGATTTAATTTCGTTGCTGTTTGGTAGCAATGGGAATTGAACTCAGGACCTCATACATACTAGGCAAGCACTTGCTGCTGAGTTGTACTCTCAATCCAGTTTTGATTTTTTGAGACACTTCTATATTGATTTCCACAACGACTACACCACTTTACACTTCCATCCGGTCAGTACACAAGGGATCAAATTTCTCCACACCCTCACACCAACATGAGTAGTCTTCTGTGTCTGAAAAGGGTTCATCATCGTCAGGTCTGACTGGTGTTTCTCTTCCTAGCCATCTGTGTGTCTGTTGCAGTCTTTTGTGAGTCTTTCAGCTGTGCTGTTTCCATTTCTTGCTGTGGTTGAACTGGAGCCCTTTATTCCCCAAGTTGACCCATTGGCTTGCGTTGTTTCCTGTCTTCTAGGCAGACCTTTCCATAAGCCGTGTCCTTCCTGGACTGCAGTTTTTCATTGATGGTCTCCCAGTTGCCTGTCTGATTGTTTCTTTTGTCTGGTCACGGAGTTGTAAGCTTCCCTCTCCAGGCTGACTCCCATCTGGGCACTGGACTGGGGGTGTAGGAGCAAGCAGGCCCATCTCCTCTACTTCTAGTTGCCTTGGTTTCTAGACCCTGTATTATTAACCTGCTGCGTCTACGGTCTCTCACTGGCCTCAAGGGCTGTAAAGGATCTCTAAAAAAATCAGTCATCTGCAGGGGGGGGAGAGAGAGAGAGAGAGAGAGAGAGAGAGAGAGAGAGAGAGAGAGAGAGAGAGAGAGAGATCAGTCATCAGAGTCAGACCTTTAAGTTATGAAAGTAGAGCTGTGGAGCTGGGCTTCCCGGGAGTCCAGGTCAGCTTTGGGTGGGGGCTCTCTAATCGGATCCAGATCTTACATCCCAACATGGGGCAGCAGAATCGCTCTACAGAAGCATGTTTAGGTTGAAGAGAGACACATCTTAGGGACCAGGCGTGGCCAGCAGAGAGTTGGGTCACCTGAGGATATCTGTTTACGATGCTTGGAATTCGAACTCCGAACATCAGGACACTCACTGTGTAGACCTGGCTGTCTCTGATTCTGGGAACCCAATCCTTGGGACTGCAAGGATTTTCTAGCCCCACTACCTGGCCCGGGGTCACAGAGGCTCAAGAGCTGAGGAAGGAGAGGCCCAAGGCAGTCTCTGCACAGCCAAATTGGTGAACCCGAGTGGGGTCCACAGCCCTCACGCTCGCCAGAAGGCCTCCGGGCAGTGCAGTTCGTTAGGCGGAATGAATGTGCACCATGCCCGGAGTGAGCTAGGATGAGGCAGTGATTATATTTAAATTTGCTATAATTGATTTGGGGAAGAGCTACTGTGACAAGAACGAATTGATCATTAAATTTATTAGCGAGATAAATTCCGCTGCGATTAAGCTGCTGGCTTGAGACACTGAGGCCGCCTGCGGATCTGCGCGCCAAACGAGAGACTTGCTGCCCAGCTGCACCCGAGTGGGGAGAAGTGGAAGGGGGTTGTCGTGATGGTTGTTTCTTCCTCCAGCTTTCCATGGGCCTTTGTTCCAGGGGAGCATCTCTCCTTGGAGTGGGGGTTCCCCGAGTCCCTAGGTCCGTTGTTACTCTTCCGTCCCAGATCCAGGCCTCCCTTTTCTGTTTACCCAGTGTTTAAGGCTCCAAGCCTCTGAGACTGGGATGGCCATCCTCAGAGGAAAAATAACCCCCAGATGTGGAGAAAGCCTGCGAATCTCGCCAATGTGTTAGAAATTAAAAAGAGATACATGCATCTTTTTAAAAGACGGGAAAAGCATCTGCTTCTCTCTCTCTCCTCTCTCTCTCCCTTTCTCCCCCTCTCTCGTTCCGTTCGCTCGCTCTCCTCTCGCTCTCGCCCTTTCTTGCTCTCTCTCTCTCTCTCTCTCTCTCTCTCTCTCTCTCTCTCTCTCTCTCTCTCTCTCGCTCTCGCTCTCGCCCTTTCTTGCTCTCTCTCGCTCTCTCTCTCTCTTGCTCTCTCTCTCTCTCGCCCTCTCTCTCGCTCTCTCTCGCCCTCTCTCTCTCTCTCTCTCTCTCTCGCTCTCTCTCGCCCTCTCTCTCTCGCTCTCTCTCTCTCTCTCTCTGTCTCGCCCTCTCTTGCTCTCTCGCCCTCTCTCTCGCTCTCTCTCGTCCATTCCTCTCAGATTTTCCCATTCCCTTTCCTCCAGTCCTTTACTTTCTCCGCCAGCTGTAAACCCAGTCCGGATTCGCCCTAAAGAGCCTTTGTATCTGGAGCTTGGGACTCAGGTCGTGTGCCTGGCGCTCAGCAGCTGCCCTACCTGGCTTCCAGCCCCACGCCCGGCTTGGGCCGGCTTGGATTTTACGGAAGGAGCCCGGGGTGATAATGAGCTTTCAGGAGGATATTAATCTGGCTCGGCTCTGAGATGGAGGCGTGCCCTGCTGGCCCCGCTGCAATCACCCAAATGAAACTCTAGACCCTTCTGAACTCTCATCAGCGGGGAGGGAGGGCAGAAGCAAGGGGAGGAGGATGCTCGCCCTCACCCAGGTGTGGGAGAGAAAGTGACCCACCGACAGGAGGCAGACACTAGAGAGTCTGCCTCTTGAGCTATTCTCAGTCGAAAGCTGGCCACCAAGACAGCCAAGGGGTACTGGGGAGGAGGGACGAACCAGACACGGAGGACCTAGTGTTCCCTGGCCAGAGTCAGGAAGCAGAGGACCTGCGCGCCTAGGCTGGGCCCTGCATGTGTGCCGCACATGGTCTGGGGGCTGAATGATTGATGGCATTCGCTGCAGAGGTTTATTAACCCAGAGTCATTGCAGCCCTGGCATAGAGCATTCTTGCTGCTCGCCTCCGCAGCTTCCTCTCAGAAGACATTTGCACAAAATCGTTCCGGGCTAGCACAAGGGACATCGTGCTGGCTGAGGGTCCTCAGTCAAAAGGAGAATGCGCTGCATGACGCCTTTAAGCGCTTTTCCGGGAAATGTGCTTGCTTAGAGATCGCTAGGACTTCAAATGCCACTAACACCTAGTTGTTGGCAGCTTATTCTCCGAAACATTCAAATCCTATATTCCCATGCCACTGGAGCTAAAAGATCCAGCAAGTAAATGCGAAATAAAGTGTCCAAAATCACTCAGCTAGGAGTCTCATGACCAACACAAGGTTTAAGCCAGGCACTCGCTCTGACACCTGGCCTCTGATATTTTTAGCCACAATTCACACCTGCTGCTAACTGCTACCCCATCTTGCACCTTTGGCCTCCAGAATCAGGTTTGGTTTTAGAGGGCCCAGGCATGGAGGTGGTCCTGACACCCATTTGCCATTCTGATTATCACCCTTTGCTGTTAACCAAAACAGCCAGGCTCCACGGGATTTGCTCTTCCTAGGCTGCCGATGTGGAGCAGTAGCAGAGCACTCGCTTTGCTTGCCCAAGGCCCTGGGTTCAATCCTCCTTCCAAAATTAAAGTGTTCCTTTTTTTCACTGTCATCCAGTACAAAACCAATTTATTTTACATTCCATCTCCACCCTGGGGAATGGGGAAGCTAAATAATAATTTAGCATGCATAAGTAGATGTTTCTTTCTTTATATATATAAATACAATATACAAAAATACACTACCATTCTGAGGTTTTCAGCAGTCTGAATGCTCATGACATAACACCCCCCCCATACACAGGCATAAAACCTTTTTTTCTGTTTTCAATTCTCAGTAGAATGGTGTCTCCAAAGGAGGTTTCAAGTTTCTAGGTCACTTAACACTGTAGTTTTCCCTTCTCCGATGAGGGAAGAGGCAGGCAGGAGCCACTCATAGAAGGGGTATGTTCTTCTCACAAACACCTCTGGCCAACACAACCCGAAATTAAATTTAAAAGAACGAAAGTTCACATTGGAGGTCACTCTCTCTCTCTTTCTCTTGCTGTCCTTCGAGGACCCAAATAGGATTCCCCCAACCCAGCGCGCACTGCCAGACTGGCTGCAGGCCACAGGATGGTGTTGAAAGCCCGCACCGGGGTAGCCGTAGCGCGCGTCCCTGCTGCCGAGTTTGGGACGACTACTGGGGCGGAGGTTGGTGCCCTGGGCCGCCCGGCCTTGGGGGCGGCGAGTCGTCCTCGGATGAGCAGTCAGACGAAGCTACGGCGGTGTGGGTACCGGCACCATTGCTGTAGGGGAAGTGGTCGTCCTCATCATCATCCTCGTCCTCATCCGGGTCACTGTCTCGCAAGTCCCGCAGGCGACGGCCGCTGGCCTTGTCCACGGACACCGGCGGCCCCAGCAGCTCCTCCTCGGCCTTCTCCTCAGCGCAGCTTTTGCCGGAACCCCCGCCGCTGCCCTTCTGCTTCTCTGCCTCCTGCGCAGCCTGCTCTTTGGCCTTTTTGCTGCGTTTCCATTTCATTCGGCGGTTCTGGAACCAGATCTTCACCTGCAGGCACAAGTTGGCGTGAGAAGCCGGCCACTTACATCCCCACGAATCCAGAAGGTGTGAGCACCCAGGGCCCCTGCCCATCGGCCTACCCTCACCCTAGAAAGGGTTTCCCTAGAGTGACTGGGCAGCGGCTTCTCCATTCCCCCACCCCTACATCCACTCTATTCATCAGTAACCCCATAGCTGTGCTTGGTGCCCCCCAATCCCCCAGTTGGGAGTGTTTTACTCCAAGCCCTTGGTCTATCAAGGCAGCTGGCAGGTCTCTAATCCCTGAAGTCCAAGTCCGCACCTTTCCAGAAAAATAGTCTCCAAGAATGTAGCCTGAGGTATACCTTCTCCAGAATAGCTGGTTAAATAGGATTCTCAGCCTACTGTACCCCAATCTACTGAATCAAACCTCCTCCTAAAGACGCTCTGGCGTCTTCCTAGGACCTCGCCCATTGCGAATTAATACCGAACCTAAAGGTCATGAAGCTGGGACCCAATTGCCCAAATCAATACCCTCCTGGGTGGTTTGGTGGGATTGGCTGCCCCGGGGGCTGGGTATCAGGTGTGCACCTGGGTCTCGGTGAGCATGAGCGAGGTGGCCACCTCAAAACGCTTGGGCCTCGACAGGTATTTGTTGAGCTTGAACTGGTGTTCCAGCTCCAACAGCTGCTGGCTGGTGAAGGCGGTGCGAGGTCTTCGGCACTTCCCCAAGAGGTTCGACTGCGCCTGGGCTGTGGACCAAAAGGGCGAGAGGCCTTTGTAGGCTTGTTCACTGCCCGGGTTCCTAGTCCCTCTCAGGGTCCAGCCTCCGATACCCACCCTGCAGACATGGGCTTCTTTTCAACATCAGAGCCTACTCCCCAACAGACCAGAGGACCCACATCTCAGACACAAGCGGAAGTGGAGAGCTTGTCCCAATAGACAATCTTTTCATTTGAGAGTCGCGATTAAATAGGGCCTGTTGCCTGCTCGCAGTAGACACCTGTATGAACACTGGTAGGTCTAAAAGCTTTGGTAGCCGGGCTGGATCAGCAAGAGACCAATCACCCCTGTCTTGGTGGAGGGCCTTACTATACCTCAAACTGGAAAAGCACCCATCCTCTTGGTCCCACCACCATCTTAAAGCAGAAGAGCAGGAGAGAGAGAGAGAGAGAGAGAGAGAGAGAGAGAGAGAGAGAGAGAGAGAGAGAGAGAGAGAGAGAGAGAGAGAGAGAGGACAGAAGCTAGAGCCTAAATAAGCATATTCATCAGGGTGTCTCCAGGTCTGTCTTGACAAGCTCCCCGCCTCCTCCTAGTGCAGAGGGCAAAGAGACTGGAAGCCTGTTCCGAGGATTCTCATTACTCAAATTAAAGGTCCAAATTAAAGGCCGAGCTGTGAGTGGATCTGGCTTTCTGTGTGTTCCAGGAGATCTGTCCAGCTTTATTTACATAATTTCGCACGGTTACATCACAGAGACTTTTATTACCTCAAAACGAGACTTCCCTTGATTTCCCAGGAGTCCAAAGAGTGTTAGACAATAAAAGAAAGAAAGCAAAGGAAAGAAAGAGGCCAGCCCCTGGCTGGGATGAGCTCAGGCTCCCCTGGGATGGGCAATTTGCTTTATAGGAAGGTCCACGCCCCCTGCTTTAGTTAAACAAGGCTACGAATTCCCAACTTGACAATACATTAGAACTCTAATTAAAACACCAGCTCGGAAAGGATCATTGGGAAATGCCATCCAGTGGATAGAAACAACCAATTAAAGAAAACCAAGCCTGTTTTCCCAGGTGAGAGGGAAGTCCCAAGAATGGACACATTCAGCCACTCTCCTCTGCTGCATTCCTTGGTGCTGGTCCCGGGATGGGATTTGGATTCTCTTCCTAATGTAAAACTGGTTTTACTTTTAATGCAGTCACTATTGAGACACCACGGGCTTGGTGTGCTGGCAAAGAGATCCTACAGGCAGGGATTCTGAGTGATTATGGCTCCAGGAAAACATCCTTTCTCCTCCAGAGAGCACTTGAGTGGTCAGGAATCCCAAAGCCATAGAGTTCTGTTGGTGACCAGTGACCAGCTCCTCTCTGGGTACCTATGCATCTCAGGCCTAGGGAGTATAGTCATAATGGACACATATGGGTAAATTTCCATCTGAAGGGGTTTGCTGGGCTCCTCAGTCAGGTTTAGATCCTGCCCAGGACTTACTAGATAAGAACAATTTCAGCGACAGCTGAGCTGCACCCCCCCAACTGAGGTCAGTGGAACCCTTCCCTCTTTGCTGAGATCAACAAGGCTGGTCTTCTTGGAGTCAAGCTGGGGAAAACCTGGGTGGCTGAGAGCAAACAAGAGTGCAGGCTGGGATTCTCTCACCACCTTGCTACTTCTGCAGCTCTCCGGGGTCCTCACTTTCTCTGTTTAGTCACAACCACTGCTTCTAGCAGAGGAATCTGAATTCTGGCAAGTGTTTATTTCTGTTTTCTTTTTCGCTTTTTTCCCTCCAGTGCCTGCATCTCCCCAGTCTAAACAAACCCACTCAGACGGAAACAATGGGGTCTCTTTGTTTGGGTGTTGGGCGGCTGACAGGGGAAAGTCATATACATCTTCTGTTCTGGCCTGAATGGAAAGGCAGCTTGTCCCTACCCATGTGGGGCACAGGGCAAGAGTCAGAGCCAGGGTTGCCCTACACAGATGCAGCTGTAGTGTGTGCCGGGATGTCTGAACTGGCTCCTGAAAGGTTGTCCCTCTTGGGTAGCAGAGAAGATGCAGCAGGCTGGACCTTCTTTGCTCCCTCCTTGGACAGGAGCTCCCAAAGGTGTTTGGCACCTGGAGTTCCCAGGAGGACACTTGCTATTTAGAGTCTCAAGACCTTCTGGTTCAAAACAGACCTCTTGAATATTGTGTGTAGGGACCCACACCACACCACCACCACCCCCACAGACACACACAGAAACACACCACACACACACACACACACACACACACACACACACACACACACACCCCACATACATACTTTGGCCCTTCAGAGGAAGGCAGAATCCTGACAAGGGTCAGAGAAGAGCTTGGGCTCTGGCCTCGTAGCCCTGCTACGTTAGGAATCCATTTTCTCCTTAGCTACTTCTGAACATAGTGAGGAGTCTCTTTGTAAGCCATTAGGGAGCCCCTGGCCAAGTTCATATTCCCCATGATAAGTCCCAGGTTTCAGTGACCCTAAAAACCTGCCCTGTTCGAGGCCTTTTTTGGCTAGCATTCCCGAGCACTTCCTTCTCCAACCTGCAAGTTAATCATTAGGTTTCAGCCTCACACCTCTAACCTCCCCTGCCCATTAAGAGAGAAAGAGAAAGCAAGGCCTGAGCGTGGCCATCTTAATAATTCGCTGCTGCTCTCTCACGCCGCTCGGCCCACGCGAGGCCTCACAGGCCCAGGGATGAGCCGTGGCGGCTTTGCTGTGCTTGGACAGCTAGCTGAGAGCAGAGGCAGAAAGGAACAGGTTGCGGAAGAGGAGGATGCTCGAGAGAACTGCCCCGGTGCTGCGCAGGTACTCACAGCTGAAGTCCGGCATCTTGGGCAGGATCATGCCCGCGGTGGACGCGCGCAGCCACTGGTCCAGCTGGAAGGTGCCGGCACCCAGCTTGATGGGGTCGGCAGGGTGCGCGGGGTGTGCGCCCTGCACCTGAGGGTAGGAGTAGGAAAGCGCAGGGTGCTGGCCCGCCAGCGCGGCCGCCGCCGCCGCCGCCGAGTAACCGTAGACTGGGTGACCGTAGAGAGCTGCCTGTGCAGGGAGGCCCGCGCCGCCCTGCGCGCCCCCCGGGTGCAGTCCCAATGCCAGGCCGCCGGCAGCCGCGGCGGCGGCGGCGGCAGCTGCGGCGGCGGCACCAGGGTGCGCATGGTGGTGGGGAGTGCCCGGCCCACCCGCCGCGCCGCCGCCTCCTCCGGCGCCCAGGAATCCCGGCTTGGGCAGCAGAGCGCAGTGCGCAGCCAGCAAGCGCGGGGGTGACGGGCTCTCCGCCCGCAGCCGGTCGCTGGGAGCTGCAGTGGCCTCAGAAGACACGGGGCTGCAGCTGCGGCTCGCCCCGCTACTGGTCCCCCCACCACCGCTGCCGCCTCGTCCGGGGCCAGATGCTGTGGCCGCGAGCGAAGTGACCAAGGCCAGCGGTGCGCTTTGAGTGGAGGAGGCTCGCGGGGGATCCACCGCCAGCAGGGCGTCGATGCGGAAATTTTTGGATTTTTCCATCGGCTCGTTTGGAGCTGACGATCAGTGCCCAGGGACGGGCGACGCGGTCGTGTGCGGGCTAGCTGAGACTGAGCGTGGCGGTGGCCAGCTCTGGGGCTTGATATTGTTACTGCGATTATTTGCCAATAATCAAAGTCGCAGCCGGAAACTCAGCCGCGAGCGACCATGGTCTAGACGCCTCCTCCTTGCTGTCCTCGAGGCGACCGCGCTCCACTCACTGGTACAAACTCCCACGAGCGCTCCTGCGAGTTTGGGTTAGGGAGGCCGGCTCTCCGCTCTCAAGCGCTCAAGCTACCGAGCCGAGGCCGCTGGCGCCTTGGTGGGGACCCGCGCCCCTCCGCACACTTGAAGCTCAGCTCGGTCTGGGATTGGCGCACGCAGCGGGGACCCAGGGAGGGGTGTCCGTCCGGCGATTGGCCGAGGGGCGCACCTGTCACGGTCCAGTTCTCCTGCGGCCCCGCCCCTGCGCCCCCAGGTCCTAAGTAGCGGGTGGCGAGCAGCAGTGGTGGGGGAGTGGAGACGGGAAGGAAGAGCTTGGAAACTGAATACAGGCTTGCCGCTTCGTTGGTGCTGAGTGGGTGGCGGGCGCTGGGTCCCCCTGAGTCCCCTAGACACCTTGTTCCGCCAGAGGCGGACATCTTATCTTTCTTCAGCTACTCTTGCGCCCTTGCCGGAGTTGTGGACTGTTCAGCTCTGGGGAACCAGGTGGTTCCTCACCCCTGAAGCCCACCCTGAGCTTAGCAAGCTGAAGACCAGAATCTCCCGCGTTCCTGAGTCTTGGGCACCTCAAGGTGGTTTGAGTCCCTGTCACTAACCCTCTGCAGGTCGAACCTTCGAATCTGCGCCCCCACCCCATCCCACCCCCAGTCTCCTGTGCAGCCGATGTTTGTTTGAAGGTTTCCGGTGTGTATAAATACGGTGAGTGAGAGTTTGACGCCCACAAATCTTTGTCGGGAGCTTCCCCATCCCACCCGGTCAGAGTGTAAAGAGAGCAGTCTTCCAATTCTTCCAGTGAGGGACCCACATTGGCTTCAAGGTCGGTCGTTCAGGTGCCAGCCAATGAGCCGGACCTAGGTGACAAAATTCTTTTGCCCGATCCTTGCCTCTTGGACGTTCGATGGATATAGGCTTTGAGGGGGTCTGTCGAGGGCTGCACCCTTAGACTGCGCCCTCCCCAAGGCTAAGGGAACCACAGGCAGGCCCTCGCCTCCTCCCTCCTGGCCGAGTCCAGGAAAATCAGAAGAGGGCTTCCGACTGAGTAAGATATTAGAGTGTGAATCCAGACCTCACCCTACACCACACACATCAAACATTTACAGTAAAAAAAGCTTCCTTCCAGGTTTTTTTTGGTGTTTTTTTTGTTGTTTTTTTTTTTTGTTTTGTTTTTGTTTTTGGTTTTTCGAGACAGGGTTTCTCTGTGGCTTTGGAGACTGTCCTGGAACTTGCTCTGTAGACCAGGCTGGTCTCGAACTCACAGAGATCCGCCTGCCTCTGCCTCCCGAGTGCTGGGATTAAAGGCGTGCGCCACCAACGCCCGGCTCCAGGTTTTTTTTTTTTTAAGTTTCACAAATCAATAAGTAAATTGGGAAACCAAGCGGCTACTAAGCTCCATCTTCAGGTATCTTCCCCAAACAGGGGGAAGGCGAGAGGGAGTTCCAGGTTCCAGAAGCTTGACTTCCGAAGCAGGTGAGAGGTTAACAAAGGGGCGGATGTGGGTCAGGAAGGGGCAGAGGATCCCTAAGAATCGATGCTGGCTGAACATAAAGGTAGGCAAGGACCTGGCCTTTAATCCCAGAACTCGGGAGGCAAAGGCAGGTGAATTTCTATGAGTTCGAGGCCAGCCTGGTCTACAGAGCAAGTTCCAGGACAACTATGGCTGTTATGCAGAGAAACCCTGTTTCAAAGCAAACAAGAAGAAGAAGATGAAAGAAAAAAAAAAAGGCAGCAGTCCTCAGGAGTTTTTTATTAAGGCAAGACTTAACACAGTGGTTCTGTTCGGATGAGTGGGATTCCTTTTTCATTATGACTGGGTGGTTCTGAGGTGCACAGTCCTGGAAGGAAAGTCTGGCACAGAGTAGGCGCAGTTTGGAGTAAATGCTACCCGGCTTTGCAAAGGCCAACCGCTAGTCACGAAGAGCACCACGTCTATGCTGCTGCTGTCCTTAGGTGCTGTCTCTTTGGTGATGATTAAAATGCAGCCCTGCCTCTTAGTAGGAGCACTTCTGTTCCATGAAAACCTGCTATGTTCCATGATCTTTCTGTAATTATTTTTACTCTTCATTATGATGCTACAAGGAGTTTATCATCTTTGTCTTCTAGAGCACAGGTTCAAAGAAACTGAGATCAGTTCTGGTTTTGGGGGCCACACCTGCTGCTTCTCATCTGTATCTGTCCTGGTTCCTCATCCCATCTGACTCATTAAAGGAGAGCTGAGATTCCCTGCACTTCCATGGAGGAAACCCAATTCAGGCACGCAAGGATGCTGGGCTGCTCCCCTCTCCCCAGGATGCAGCTTTTTCTAGATGAGAGAAGAGAGTAAGTTGACTGGTCCCAAAAGGAATTATTCAAGATGGAAGAGAGTGACTACAGATGAGATTTCCCTGAGGTGGACCTCAGTGGACCTGTATCTTCTCTGGCCTGCAACACCAGAGTTGTTTTTGTTGATTGGGGGGGTAGGTTTTCTGAGGTTCAGGCACAGGTTCCCTCAGTAAAATCATCTGAACAGAGGAATTGATTACCTATTTGTTTTTTAGGTGATGTGTTCCCAAGGCCTCTAAATCTCTTTCCCCTTTCCACTGTCTGGAGTTTGAGAACCCACAAGGCCATAACCCTACCAGTCCCTCACCACCTGTGAGCTGAGTGAGACAGTATCGTATCAAGAGCCTCTTCCGTGAAGGGGATCTTTGCATGCCAGACTTGATGGATTTATTTCTTTGTCTGGCAAAGCAGGGGTTGGGCCAAACAGAATCTCTGAAATCAAAAGGCTTGAATGTGATCATATATTTTGCTTCTGCTTGGGAATAAGTTAATGCACATTGGAGGTACCCGGTAAGTTGTTCACTGAGAGAGGCAGGAGTGAAGAGAAAGACTGGGAGTTATCTGGAACTGGGATCTTTGTGTGTTTTACAACGTGTGAAGTGAGCATGCTGGGCCTCTTCCTGTTCCCAGTGTCTATTGACCCAGCCCAGCTGGCTTTGGGGCTGCCAAGGACTAAGCTGGGGGCTTACTAGGGACTCAATGAGACATCAAAGGTCTGGTCCCAGCGGTGGTCCCAGCCCTGTGCCTCCAGGTAGCCGCTTTCTCCAGCAACCCCCAGGACCAAAAGAGGCTTTGGGAAAGCAGGGTGGAAGAACTCCCTTACGCAAAGGAGGCTGGGATTAAAGGCCCGGGACACCTTCAATCAGTTGACAACCAGTCATTTTCCCTCCATGCTCAGCCAGGGTCTCTTTTTGGGGTCTTGCATTAAGTAAGTTACTAAGAGTAACCTGCAGTTGAACCTCTTCCCATTACTGAAAAAAAAATAGCGTTGACTTATATAAACAAGCACAGAAGAGTAAGCTGTTGGGGAGCTGAAAGATGGTTCCCATGGTTCCACAGTTCAGAACTTGAGAGTGAGTACGGCTCTTGCAGAGGACTCAAGTTGGGTTCCCAGCATCCACTCACACTCACACAACCACCTGCAACTCCAACTACAGGAAACGTTACTTCCTCTTCCGGCCTCCTTGGGTACATGCACTCACCAGATAGACACAAATGTACACATAATGAAAACATAAAAATAAAACCTGGAATTATACAAGAACTCAGGACAAAACCTACATGTGCCCAAGGTCACAGGAGCCAGGCCAGCATTGATTCTTTTACTGTCACTTACTCATTTGCTTCCTCCTGTGGAATGCGGCAGGTACAATGTACAACAGCCATTAATAAGAAGGCTAGGAGCCTGGAGCCGTGGCTGGGAAACTGGATAGAAGACAGTCTTCCCTGCACCCCCCTCTGCACACCTGCTGCTTGTCTGGTTATTTCCAGAATTGAAACAAGCGACCCCCCCACCCCCTACGCTCAGCCTCACAGAGAAAGGCCCATGTGAAGACTGACTTCTCAGTCTTATTGTGAACCTTCAAGGGAGTTAACTCAGTTCAATTTCAGATCAATATTTTAAGGCTCCCATTCAGGAAAATGAGGCTGGAGGATGTGGTGGTGGTGGTGGTGGTATTTTCCCAGGCTATATAAGCTCAGGAGGACAGAAAGCAAGCAGGGAGAGTGCCATACCTGGAGGGAGATAGACCACCCTCCTTCAGGTCTGGCTGACTTCAGTGTTTTGAATTTCCCCCTGAGGACATACCCCCAGCCTGGGAACACAGACTCCAGTGGAGAGCCTGGGGTCACTGGAAGGTGAGACCAGGAGAAAGAGAAGTGTGTTGAGTTCTCCCCACTCCTCACAGCCCCTGCAGAGCCTGAGGGCCAAAGGTACCATCAACATCTTTATCACCCTCCTTTGATCTGCTGACCTCTTCTCTGACTCCTCTCCTCTGCCCCATCCTCACTTCAGCTTTTAAAGGGCTGGTTTTCAAAGGTGTCTCACAAGACAGTGACCTGAGGACTACTGTTCCAGCCTGCAATGAACTGCTCTTGCCCAGGATACTAGCCAGGCCCTTTCTTTGCCACCCCCACCCCCATTCCTCTCCCAGCACGACTGGATTTCCTGCCATCCTGTTTGGAGAGCATCCTCCACCCTCTCTATCCCTATGCTGAAGCCTACACTGCCTGGACCAGCAGGAACCCAAGCCATCCAGTCTCGCTGGCCTCATTCCTTACTGTAAAGAAAAACCAATCCAAACCTGGGCCCTAAGGGCCATGGGGAGAAAGTCAGTGGGGTGGAAACACAAAATCCCAGCAACAGACTCTATGTTTGGAAATTGATGCCAGATACCAGGTTGGTTTTTTGTTGTTGTTGTTTTGTTTTGTTCGTTTGGATGCTTGTTTCTGTGTGCCCCGGAACACAGAGAAGAGCCTGAGCTCAGCCTTGCACCCCGGTTCTTTCGGACCCAGGAGTCAAAAGCATTTTCAGTTCCCTTACACATCCTAGAAGCCATGGGTCTGGGTCATAAAGAGAAACAAGGCGGAGTGGTTACCTCAGTTCTTTTAATCAGCTAGGGCCGGGGACAGCACCCTTAGAAGAAATGAAATACTTCCCAGGAAACCTGTGGTTTTGCTCCAAAATCTCATTTCATTTTAGTGCAGATTCATTATGTAGGGCTTCAGACCATTGTCAGGACAAAGAGCAGGAGCCTGCTCCAAGTGGGCGGTGCAGCCTTGACCCTATCTCCACTCTACCTGTAG